TCTCAAGCTTTTTAAAAAGTCAAAGAACACATTAAAATAGTCAAAATTGAGGATGTTATGCATTGGTGAAGTTGACCCTTTTTGCAAAATTGTCAAAAGTCAACTATGCCTAAAAATGCAATTTTTGCTAAATGAGCTCAATATTTTGCACTTGTTTTGAGTTGGTAGCATGGTCCACGAGCCCTAGCTCTTTCCATTTGTCTTTATCTTATTTTTATTATTTATTTTGATTTTTATTGCAATTAAATTAATTTAAATCAAAACAAATCATGAAAAAATCCAAAACATTGAAACCTCAAGATATTATGCATGTTTCAGGTCCTATATCCAGCTAGCAAAAGATTGAATTCGTGCAAAGCAAAAGTGGGCAACAAAAGATTGGTTTTGACCTATTTTTGGAATGATTTTCAAGTGAATCAAATCAAGATCAAAATCAATAATTGGCAAAGATTGAGATCGTGTTTGCAACCCTAATTCAGTCCTTGGTATATAGTATACAATTGCAGACCTAAAACACAAGCTTGGGAGGCGTGAGAAGGCAGAACAAAACTTAAAAAAATCAAAGAAAAGTCTTGCTATCCACCACAATTGCAATCAAACGCAAAATAAACCAAGTCAGTTCTTCCACCGTATCACAAATAGCATGAATCATTTATAGATGGTGCCTTGAAGAATTGTGAGAGAATAAATTCGACCTTTTTACATCAATGATGGCTCCAGCGGTGGCGAAGAATGGTCTTTCTAATATAATAGGGATGTTGGAGTCCTCCTTAATGTCCATAATAATGAATCAGTGGGAATATAGAATTGCCCGATACATACTGGAGCACTTTCTAGCATTCCTAAAGGAAATTTCACTGAATGATCAGCTAGTTGCACGAACATTCTTGTTGGTTGTAATTCTCCCATGTTTAGCCTTTTGCAGATTGATAAGGGCATTAAACTAATATTGGCTCCCAAGTCGTATAGAGCTTTGTCTATGACAAATATTCCGATTACACATGGTATAGAAAAACTACCAGGGTCTTTCAGCTTAGGGGGTATGTGTTTTGGATTATAGCGCTACACTCTGTAGTAAGCGTAACAGTTTCATTATCCTCAAGATTTTTCTTATTGGATAATATTTCTTTAAGGAATTTAGCATAGGATGGCATTTACACGATGGCTTATGTAAAAGATATAGTGATATTCAATTGTTTCAGAAGTTTAACGAATTTCTTAAATTTCCCTATATTTTTAGATTTAGCTAACTTTTAAGGGTACGGTATCGGTGGTTTGTACGGAGGCAGAGGCACATATGGTTTTTCTTTCTCTTCTGCCTCTGCGCTTTCATCTTCCTTCTCATCTTCTTTTGATTCGTCTTCTTTCTCAGTTGGTTTACCAGTACTCTGGTACGTGGATGGATTTTTGGTTCTTAGGTTAGTTGGTCCATCTACTTCCGTTCCACTCTGAAGTATTATAGAATTAGCATGACCTTTCAGATTTGGTTGTGGTTGTCCAGGAAAAGTGTCAGCTAGAGCAGCTGTAGCCGCTTGCTGTTGAGCCACTTGAGAGATTTATGTTTCAAGCATTTTGTTATGAGTGGTTAGGGCATCAATAAAATTTGCTATTGAGTGGCTATGAAAATTTTCTATCGATTTCTATATTGGATTTCCTAGGAACATTTGGAGAAATTGGGGCGGATTTCTGGTATCCAGGTGGTGCAGTTGCAGCTTGGCCAGGTGCATATAATGCATTGTTGTTCATGTACAAGAAAATTGGGTGGTTCTTCCAGGAAGGGTTATAGGTATTACCGTATGGGTTCCCTTGAGCATAGTTCACTTGATCGACATGTAATCCTGTCAAAAGTGAATATTCGTGCGCAACATGTGCGTGAAGTCTGCATAAATCATAGGTTGGAGCTACTGCAGCCACGGTGACTGCGGGAATTGTGGTCAAGTTTTATATCTTTAGGGCAAGGGCTTCTACCTTAGCGTTAACTTGGTCTAAACTACTAACTTCGTACATATCGTCTTTCGTTTGAGGTTTCTCCATAATAGTTCTATCGCTTCCCCACTGGTAATAATTTTGAGCCATACTTTCGATAAGTTGATAAGCGTCATGGTAAGGTTTATCCATTAGTGCGCCACCAACTGCAACGTCTATTGTTAGTCTTGTGTTATATAAGAGACCATTGTAAAAGGTGTGGATGATTAGCCATTCTTCTAGACTATGATGTGGACAAAGTCACAATATGTCTTTGTATCTTTCCCATGCTTCGAAAAGAGATTCACTTTCCTTTTGTTTAAAACCATTGATATTGGCTCTTAGCATAACTGTCTTACTCGGCGAAAAATATCGTACCAGGAAAACTTTCTTCAACTCGTTCCATGTGGTAACTGAGTTGGATGGTAGAGACTGGAGCCAAGTTCTGGCTCTATCTCGTAATGAGAAAGGGAAAAGGCATAGTCTTATTGATTCGGGGCTGGCACCATTTAATTTTACTGTATCTGTGTACTGCACAAACACGGATAAATGTAAGTTCGATTCGTCCGTAGGACATCCCAAAAACTGATTTTGTTGGACAGCATGTAGCAATGAAGGTTTCAACTCGAAATCGTTCTGAGTGATAGTGGAGGCAGCAATGTTGTTGTGAGGTTCCTCCCGTGATAGGGTAACATAATCCTTCAAAGGACGATTTTGGGGTCCTTCAGCCATTCTTGGTTCAAGTTCAGGAAGAGAAAAATTGGGAAGATTGAATTCGGAAATATTGTACTTAATTTGATATTCTCTAATTCGGCGTCATATACTAACAAAACGCTCAACCTCGTTGATTGGTTGCTCTAACTTTTCATCTTGAGAGCGAGTGTTTGATATACAATCAATAGATTAAAGGGAATAGAATTTTTTGCTTTATTCTATACTGCATAACAGAGAAATCACATTATTGACTAAATCATTCTCCAGCAACGGCGCCAAAAACTTGATCGCGACTTTAAGAGTCTGTCGAAATTACTGATTGCAAGTGCACAGTCTAATCGCGTAATTTTAAAAGATATAGAACCCACAGGGACTGATAATCAAACTAATGTCATATAATGTTACTATGTAAACTAAGGTTGATGATTAATCTTAGGTTCTTGAGAAAAATGGGGAATAAATTCAAGTTTAATAAAATATTCGAAATAAATGATACCATTATGTAATTCGTCAGACTTCAGGGATTCAACTAACCATTGGCTTTGTTTTAAAAAACTTTTCAGTAGAAAATATTAATTTAAAAATCCTTCTCTTACATTCTCGTGTTTATTGACTTAGACTATATTCTTAAATCTAAATGCTTTCTCTCGCTGTCTCATTCGAATTTAAAAATACTTTTTGAAAACCAATAAAATCTAATTAATCCTAAAACGCTCTCGCTGTATTTAAAATCAATGTTCAATTACTACTATCAGATTAAAAATCTCAAACTCCTGTTATATTGATTTTAACCTTTGTTCGTCTTTTACTATCGTAATAAAACTGTCTTAATATTAAAGTAGAAACCAACATCAGAAAAGTAGTTTGAAATTATTTAAGCCAATAGATTTCTGAATCCCTTCTGTTCAATTACTTTTACATACCGATATCAAAGGATTTAGCCGAACATAGTTTTGAATAGTAACATGCTATAACAATAGTTAATCATAAAACAAAACATGATTTCTATAAAGTAAATATAATAAAAGCTTGAATTAAAAACCTGGAAAGAATCTTGAGTACAAATAGAACTTGACTGCAACTTGAATGAAAATTAAATTCATAATCCTCCACAAATATCGGTAGGATTCGCTTGACCAAAAGTACTGAATGAAAAACTAAAATATGTTTAAAACTAATGTTGTGATAATCCCCTGATGTGGAAGACTATCACTTTTAATAGTGATTTTTTCTGCTTAGAAACTAGAAGAAAAAGTGCTCTTAACAATGAAAAATTTGATTCCCTGTAACTGTCAATCCTCGCCCTTTTTACAGATCTCTTGCTTGATTCACGTAACTCCCTCGAGAAGAATCCGTAATAGATTTGTTCGTGGAGAGATTTTCGCCAGACCTGGTCTTGCAGAGAGAAATAGCATAAACAATCTCGTGACTCTGACGTAGGAGAGTCAACATGGACCTGTTATAAGAAGCCTGTGGCGGTTGCCACAGGAAGCGTGGCGAGGGCTACAACTTTGAGATGCGTGGCGAGGGCCACAGCTTTCTATGTGCAGATTTTCTTTATCTCTTCTGTTACTTCATGTGTCCTTTCGTTTTCTTTGCCAATTCCTCTTCTTTTCTCATGCAAGTTTCTTGGAGGAAAAACACCTGAAGTACAGTAGCACTGCCAGTATAAAATGACATAAATAATTAAAAACGGTAAAATAATTAATGCGAGTCGAGTCGAAAATACAATGAAATTTCGCGTTATTAACATACGGTCGAATTTGTAGGTTTTGACAAATGAACTCCGTCTAAAGAATGATGGTCGAGTTTACAGGATTTGGCATATTATGTTTACAGTAATAATAGAGGACCAAGGATCGCAACCTTTTTTCGATAATCATATGAAGGCACTCAAAAACATTTGGACAGCAGGGGTACCATCCAAGATTCAGGTATTTGGATGGTGAATGATTTTGAATTGACTGTCCACCCAGGACTGCTTGGAAGGAAGAGGAATAAATCTAAAACTAACTAATTCAGTGTGTATACATTGCGAAGATGATCTCGAAACCAGGCAACACCTGTTTTTTGGGTGTCAATCAACAGCCTTAGCTTGGGAGCAATTTTATAAGTGGGTAGGTTGTGAACACATCAGCTGCGCAAATGGCTTAGATCACATGCTTCAATTCTGTGAATTGTTTGAAGGGAAAGGAAATACGAAGATTAAGGGACTGATTTGGCTAGCAACTACATGGAGTGTATGGTTAATAAGGAATGATGCTATGTTTAGAAATATCAATTTTGATATCACAAGATTACTAAACAATATCAAAGCATTGTCATGGAGCTGGTTCTTTCACAATGACACCGTACTTAAGCGAAGTATATGATATCAATGCACCGTCCTTATGCGAAGTATATGATATCTCAGCAGTGGATATATTGAGAAAGAATTTGGGTTTGATTTGTTTTACTATATTGTATTGGCCATTCACTTGAACAAATTGGCAGAAACTTAAGAAAAATTAAGTTTGCAATATATATATATATATATATATATATATATATATATATATATATATATATATATATATATATATATATATATATATATATATATATATATATATATATATATATATATATATATATATATATATATATATATATATTAATCACATTACTCACCACCATGTAACCATAGTACAACTGGTTTTGACGGTGGATCAACTTCAGCTTCTACGAAATAGTAGAAGAGGTTCCGGTGGTGGGAAACATTAACGGTTATGTATCCCGAGTGTTGCTTGAACTGCACCGGTGGTTGCTCGGGTAAGCTAGTTACCTTATCAGTAACTGGTAGGGCAGGATAAGAAACGAGGCTTACAAACAAGAGGATGAAAATATTCATTGCAGACATATTGCACTGGGTTGTTTGACAAGGTTTTGTGGGTATAAATAGGTCGGAAGTTTGGTGGAAATGACAAAAAGCAGTGCCACTGATATTTATGCTTTTATGCTTTTAGTGCCACGTGGTTGTAGTTATGCCACATGTTTTGAACATGTAACTTGTGAGGAAGAGTTCGAAAATATCTCAAAATTCTTTCTATAACGTTGCAAAACACATAGCACCCCTGAACCGTATACCAATCATTTTTTATCATTCTAAACTTTTTCAAATCTAAGGGTCTGGTCCTTCTAGAAATAGGAATACACCCGCATCTCAATAAGACTAATTTGTAATTAGAACAATGACTATAATGTGTTTGAAAAAAAATTTAGAATGGGTTTGAATGAGGTAGTTAGATTTTTTATTAAGGAATTTAAATTTTTAAACAATTTAAATATTTAATTGAAATCTATTTATTTTTAAATTATTTTGTTTGAATAGAATTTTATGATAAATTATTGTTAGATTTTCG